ATAGGTCCAACTGTATCATATGCTTATATATCGTATGACTTTCCTAGAAATCAATGCTAAGCACTTAAGAGATAAAAAGAGTTAAGAATATATAAATAAAAAATCTTACCAAGAAATCTTGAAAAGCAAAAATGAATAACTTTTATTATTCAAGATTTCTCTTTATCTAGAGAAAGATCATTATGAATAGACATTACTCTCTGGAACGTTGTCTTCATATAAAACTGCAATCATTCTGCATAGAGCTTTTATATTATTTAATAGAAGAATTCTTTCCAGAAGGCTCGACAATCTTTAAAGCGAGTACTCCTTAATGACTTTTCTCTTACAGACAAATGAGTAATTGAGTAATTGAGTAATATAATATAGATTAAGGCAACAAAATGAAGTAATATAATATAGATTAGTTTGAAGATTGCCTTGCGCGCTCGCTTCTAGTATAATTAAATGTAGATGCAGCGTCGTTCATTCAAATCAAGCTCTATATAATTAGGAAGCATTACAAAACCATAAAGTAAAGACCCGAATTGGGTTATCCTCTTCCAAAACGGAGCGCCAAGTGGGCAGTTTGCATTTTTGCCACGCGATTTAAATCAATTAGACTGAAGAAGAAAAAAACAAGCTGAAAACAAGTTGGCTGATTGTTACTCCGGCTTAAGGAGCACTTGCATATCATTATGATAAGTTGATGGATAATTTTATGTTCAGTCTCTGAGCGCGAGCACGCAAAATGTTATGGAGTGTAAAAGGTGTGTTTGGATCAAAGAGCCAACAGCATGGGTTCAATTCAGCAGCTGGTACATCTTTGTCAATATATATAACACATATATAAATATATATATTTATATATATATTGGTATATAAATATATATTTACCATTGAGTGTAGGTAGAGGCCATGGGCCAGGCCCTTGGTCTCGTCTAGACTAATTTTCTGCTCATAAAAGCAACTTTAATTGCACAAAAAACATGTTTTTATAGTTTCAAGCTAAAAAAAATGCTTTTGTTTTTGTTTTCATTTTGTGTCTTATTTTTTTTTATAATTTTTTCTTTCGAGTAGTCAGTTGTTATTGGGATTGCTTCTGACCAGATGATTAAACAGCCATAAGCCGGGCTTTTAATAAAGCGCCGCCAAAAAGTATTAAAAAGTAATGCCAACATATTAGCTGGAAATCTCATAAATTATGCAAGGAAATGACCTGTCAGCTCTTCTTCTTCATCTTCATTTCCATCTTCATCTTCATCTTCATCTGCTTCTGCTCGTTTGTTCTTCGTGTGGCCTGCTGCAGTTCGATTTTGAGCCCTGGCCCGCCCCAGAGCACAATTCTACCAACTACTACAAAATATGGCTGACATTTGAAGTGAAATCGAAAATACAACAACAAGAAGAACGAGGAGTAACAAAAATACATTTTACAGCTTCATTTTTACGAGCGTAGCAAAGTTTTGTTGCGGATTTTCTGTCGAAAAAAAATAAAGAAGAAGCAGATGAGAGACGCTACGAAAGTTGAGGAAGCTACGAGATGAAGCCGCGCTGCCCGCCTTGATGAGAGCCCAGAAATTAGCGCAAGCGCATTAAATTAATTAACTGAAGCCAAAGTCTATCGATTGGCGAACCACTTGACGTTTACTATTTAACGATTCGAGCCCGTGACGGCGACCCCTGAAACCCTATATACTAACTGCAGATCCATAGAACCTTGCAGCCAAGTTTTACGATTGCTAAACTACTTGGCAAGCCCCTGGTAAAAAGTCAAATAGCGCATTCACATAATTACAGACGCTGTTGCAGTTGCAGTTGCATTTACGTGACTACGAATAGAATAGGGCTTAAACTGTCGACGAGGGCTACGATTCAAATTCTAAATTGAGCGGAATACAGAGTGAGAAAGAGAGAGGGAGAGAGGCGGAGGAGTAGAGCAGCAGGAGTCATATAGACGTCTCAAGAACTTTATATGTTCCTCGAATTTGTTGTTGCAAAAGTAATTGAAATTATTATTAAAACTAAAGAGAAAAGAACTTCAGGTATTTCAGTTCTCTCTTGATAAGTAGCCTATTCCTTTGTTCTGAACTTATGGCAATGCGAAACAGAAGATTTGCTTGTTTCACTGCCTACACTTATCGCTCTACCCATACATTGATAGTTTCCTATCTAACAAGATAGTTAGTTTGTGGATGATTCACAGTTGGGAGTTGTGTTAGAATTTGCTACAAATCCACATTTGATCCTATAAATATTGATTGGTAAGTTTTGAACTTAGTGTTTTGTCATTGAATTTTTTCCAATTGAATCATTTTTCGTCAACTAGACTTCAGCTTAAGCCAACTGCACTTACTGAACTGATATATAAACCTCTTCTAATTTCTTACTTTTATTTATATCTTTTATTCAAGCCATTTGCTAGACATAGTTTGATTTGTTTCTACTGGAATATCTTGTTCATCTCTCTTTACCTATATTTATCAAAAGGCCTTTATATCTGTATCTCTGTATCCATTTATATCTATATTACAATCACTTAGCCCGATCACAGCTATAGCCATTTGTCTGCAGACAGATAACACCTGTCTTGAAGTCTATGTCGCAGTCTGTCCAACAATGTTGCTGGCCATAAAATTAGTGTCAGTTGCTTGGCACTTAGCCTTGTCGTACGCCTCTTTAGGCCAGGTTCGCAACTCTAATTGCTGATCGCACAGCATGCATACAAATCCTGATTTAAATTGCAGACAAGTGCACGGCCGTCTGGGCTGTCAGTTCTTTGCTGAATGAGCATTCATCATATAACATTCAGCAGGCACGCAGTAATTTCACAGCACATTTCATTCGCAAGATAAGTCCATGATTACCAGCCGGCCTGCAAACACAATGCAATGTATAAAGGGGCGATTCGACCCCGGGACAACACACAAAAACGGTAGCCAAAGCTTGACGCTTGGCTTGCGCCCACGGTCTCGGCTCTGCTTTAATCTGTCGAATGGACCTTGTGCTGCCTGGCCTTGCCTTGTCTAACCCGTTCGACTCAAACTTGTTGTTCAGTTTGAGCCTCGTTCTTCTTTTTTTGAGTTCGAGTTTTGATTCTTGTGGCAACTAAGTAGCACTTCACGTTCATTCAGCTTGCTGCCTATTCACTCTCTAGAGCCTCAAAGGAGAGACCACGCGCCGAGCACTTGGCATCAGCGTTGGCTCTGAGCGCCTCTTCCTCAATTTTGTGTGCCACAAATTTGACTTGATTTCGCAGCTAATTTTACAGATCTCGCTACAGACACGGAGTGCACGTGCCACAGCTCTGTCTGTCGCAAATAGTTGTGACTTTTAGCTATTTTTTATTATTATATTATTAGTATTATTTAAGATATATATATATTCATATACATTTTTAAAGTAATTAAACATTTAAATTTATTTGAAAATCACTTTTCTGTATCTGCTTTACATTGAATCGAATCTGTTGACAGCTGCGATGCGGCAGAATAATTGATTATCGCATATAAGCGTGACCATGGAATTGGCCTTTCTCGCACAGTAAACAATTAGTGGCACATTTTTTTCGTGAGGCACAGGCTGCCACTGCCTGTTGGCAGCTGTCCAGAGCTGTGCCCCATGCCTCTCGGCAGTCCGAGTCGTCTGCAACGCTAAACAACTGCAACTTGATTAGGCCTGTTGCAGGCTACACTGGCCACCGGTCCCTCTCGATATACGTACGTGATGTCGAGCCATTCTCCATTAGTGATTGCTTTGTCGTCTCTCTCATGAAGTGACAAAACACTTAGTTGTCAGACTGAATGACAACATCGGCTGTCTGCCAAATCCTTCTGTAGTGGCCTGTTCTGTTCTGCATATCTTATAAATGAGGTGGAAACTTCAAATTAACTGAGGAGATGTTATTCTCAAATCTTTTGATGACATTTATATTTTATATGTATTTGAATCTGAGTATATTATTATAATTTTCAAGCATCAGAGCATATGTGCTTAGTAAAAACTAAAACTGGAACAGATCTATTTCGAAATATTTTTAGTAAGAAGTACTTTTGAGGGGTCTGTAAAATACTTTGTTATTTCATAAAGAGCATTAAGTTAACTGCAAGTACTACTTCTTATCTTAAGGAGAATGTAGGGGGCACACAATATCTCTGGACAAATAAGGAACCTATTTTACAATAGAAAGTTAGAGAGCCGAAGAAAAATATTTGCAGCTGCCTGAAAATCAAATGAATTTGTTTTGATCTGCAGTTTACATACTATATATGTACGTATATACATATTTAGCAAATATATTTTTTGCGCCTATATATTAGAATATTTCATATATTGTTTGCCTCAGGTTTTGTTATTATATTTCCCTATGCACTAATTTCGATATGTTACTGTTTTACTATTTATTATAGAATGGGTCTGGCTTATATTTTTGGTATTATTTTTATAGATATTATTTTTAATTTAATTTAAGAATTAAAATTATTTTTTAATTTTTATTATTCATATTATAAATATTTATCATTGATAGCACCTTCTTTGACTGAAGACATTCCTAATTCAGACAAGCCTGTAATTCGAGCTGCGATTAAATTCATTAGCTTGATCATATTTTGGGATAAAGCTGCTGACCATAAGATCAATTCGCTGGCATTATTTAATATAGCCAATATAGTCTTCATAAGCCAGTATTTTTCGACTGGATTACATTTAATTGTTATTATTATTTTCCATATTTTATTAATAAAAAGTTGATTACTATTTATATTGGCTCTATTATTTTTGATTTTGACTATTGCTATGAAGCATGTTATAGGACATTCCACTAGACCAAAGTAGAAACTCAACATAATAAACTCAATCACATTTCATAAAATTTTTGGGTTTTGATAAAGGTGAACTATGGATACCATTCTTGATCCTTTAACTACGTTGTGTATGATAATTGAATCATTGATCTTATGCTGAGACACTTCCACATCTCAGCTTCAATATGTATGAGAATCGATTGCTTGGGCACTTACCGAGTGGCACATTCTTGCGTGTGCTGGATACGGAGATGGGCAGCACGGCGTTGCCTGATGTGGACGATGGCGATGGCGATGAGGAGTCGCAGGAACCCTCCAGCGATTGAGCGGGCGTTGGCACCGTCGACATGTGATGATCGGCGCTGGTGATGACGCTGATGCCGCCGCTGCTGCCAGCGCCAGCTGCGCTGCCGGAGACGCTGCTAGAAGCAGCTGCTACATTGCTGGAGCTGGCGCCACCGCCGCCGCCGGAGCTGCTGGTGGCTGCGCCCACGCTGCCGCCATGATCGCTGTGCGAGGGAGATCGAAGCGCTGCCTGATGGGGTGGCTGCTGCTGTTGCTGTTGTTGCTGTGGTTGCTGCTGCTGCTGGTGGTGCTGTTGGTGATGGTGTTGTTGCTGCTGTTGCTGTTGCTGCACCACTGATGCTGCAGCTGCCATGTGGGCGTGATGTACATGTGAGTGAGCATGGGCGTGGCCATGCAGAGTGCTCGCCGTGCCATTGTGGCCACTGCTCAGATGCGATTGTGGCTGAGGCGGTGGTGCGGCTCCTGCCGCTGCCGCTGCAGCTGCGGCCGCTGCTGCTGCTGCCTGCTGGTGGTGCAGCACATGGCCGTGATGCCCGTGACCGTGATGCGCATGGGCGTGGCTGTGGGCGGCATGCACATGGTGATGATGGCCATGATGACTGAGCAGCGCCGTTGTGGAGCCCGTCGGCGGCGGCACCTCGTGCATATGAAGCGAGCGTTGCTCGTCCTGCGCCTGGGCGCGACGCAGCGCCGTCTGTAGCGCCATTACACGCTGCCTGTCCGCTGTCAAGCGACACTTTTCGCAGGTGCAATAGCGGTACTTGCAGTACCGTTTGTGACCCTTCAAGGTGATCTTTAGGCCGTGATTGCGACAGCGCGCACAGTTGGGTGGTGTGCGTGGGGATATGGAGCTGCCGCTGGAGCTGGAGGCGCCGCCACACACATCATTCTTTGAGTCGATCATGTCCGAGTCGGACATGGTATCGCTGTTCCAGTTCTCCTCAGAAACCATGCCAGACGCACTCGCTCTATGAACTACCTTTCAATGTCTGGCCGTAATCCGAAGAAATTGTTAATTCAATTGGCCTTTTTCAATTTTCAAGCCCAGCAGCCAGAAGGTAGCATTTTTTGATTGAATTTTATTAACTTATTATTATGGTTGGGCTTTTTTGTTTAATTAATTATGTGGTTATTGATTTTAATACGTTTACAAATTTATTTAAATTGATCTGAAGCTGTTTTAAAAATGTTATTTAATAATATTGAATAGATTATGTATTTATTATATTTCTTTTAAGTTAAATGTGGATTAAGCTAGTTATATGTTTATTTATTTTTAATTGTTAAAATATTGTTAAATATTTTTTAGTTTCCTTTAAATCCAAAAATATGTTTTCCACTATTTGAAATATTTAGTTAAACTTTTATATATTTTGATGAAAATTTCAGAATTGTTGCCTGCAAAGAAAAAAAAAATGGAAAATGTAATAATTACAACAATTACAAAAAGATTATTTTATTTATATAAAAAATATGAATTAAATTTATTCAAAAAATGGTTAGTACCTTAATTTTTATATAAATATATATAAGATAAAAGATTATAATAATATATTATATAATAATACATATTAGATTTAATAGGTTTTATGTTTGAAGACATTTCAGTAATACTACATAAAAGTCGAAGAAGTATAGTTGCAACACTTGTAGTTTTATAATATATTATTGTTTTATATTGTCTGATAATATATTTGAATATTATATAATATATTTTATATAATTACCAAATTAGAACATGCCTAGATCAACTCAGAGCTTTGACTGTTGTCGTGGCAAGCATTTGCCAATAAAGATTAAACAGAATATAAAAACAAGAATGAATGCAGCTATCGCATCTAACCCACTAAGTAATACTCATTTATATTTAAAATAATAGCTAAATATACTTGGATATACACAGTTTTTAATACAATATATTCCTTATATATTTTTGTCTGCAAAAATATGTGTATATATTCTAATAGACGCGGCTAATGTAAACTAAAAACTATTTCTATTTTCCTGTTTATAACTCATTCAGTTAAACTGCTAATATTATATGGTTGTGCTCTTTCTAATCGTGTTATACTTCATTTATATTTTAAATTACAAACTAGAAGTAGTTTTTGAACAAATTTATTTTAGCCAAGCCATTTGCGCCATGGCCACTGCTCAACAATAGATGCAATAGAGACTGCACACCGAAATTTCCAAGTAGAAATTTTTGTTAATAAGAAAAAATGTTTTGGGCTGATGTAAGCGCTGCTTCGATCAGTCAGCCAGTCAGTCAGTCAGTTAGTGAGGCAGTCAGTCGGTCAGCCAGGCGTACCGGCAAATTGTAGTATAAGAATGCTTCGTATAGGATTTGATATAGCCTTTGCTTATGGGTATGCTATATAGACGCTGTTCGACACGCTCCGCTCGCATTGTTAAACAAATTGCATTTTGTTTATTATGCTACAGCGAATTTTTGCAATATTTAGCCAAATCATTTTTCACGCACTTTTAAGCGGCTGTTGTGTGAGAGATTTTCATTTGGTTTTTCATTTATTTTTATTGTTATAATATCTGTTTTTTTTTTTCATTTTTCATTCTAGCTGAAAGGGGAAATTTCTGAAGTCTGTCATTGCATGTGGATAGGCAATTAAGGCTAAATACAAAATCGGTCCAAAATGTTGTTCAATTGGTAATCTGCACACCCACGTCCTCCATCAATTACAATAAGTATAAACGGGGCAGCAATAAAACTATTGTTGATGAGATCTTTTAATATTTTTTTGTAATATCGCTGAGCATCCAGAGGAATTTCAATAGTGCCTTCACATTTACTTATATAAACTTTGAAACAATCCAAAAGAGGCGTTAGAATTTATACAATTCATAAATAGAATATAAGCATAAACTGTATATATGTATATAATTATACATATATACTTATATCTGATATTTTTCTACTGACTGAATGAAGCTGAGTTTTAGGTTTGAATTTAACTGAAAGATAAAGAAAACGTTTATTTTTATAAAATTTCAACTTTGTTTCAATTTAAAAAATTTTTAAATTAAATTTATAAAATGTAAAAAGTTTTGAAGTAAAACTCATAATTTCTTGGTAATTGGACCTAATTTGTTGTTTATGAATTTTCTTTAAAAAAAAAAGTTCCCTGAAGGGCTGAACTGAAAACAAAATTCTATTGAAATAGTTGCTAAAAAATTAGAAAAAGTTTTCTTTGATTACAAATTTTTAATGGATTCTTACAGTGTTTCTTTTGCTTGAAAAAAAAATTAAAATGGTCTATTTATTTTTTTGATTTTTATTTATATTTATAATTTAATTATGAGAATATTTAGATATTTAATTAGAATATTATTACATTTTCTAAAAAACTTTAACTGATAAATACAATTTATAGATAAACATAGTTATTTTTACCTTATATAAAGTAAGCAGATTGAAAAATGTTTAATAGTAATTATTTATGTACTGTAATGTTTATTTAGAGTTGAATAAATACGAATATTTTAGCAATATTTATCAAACTTTTAACTGACTGATTTGGGCTAAATGTATACAGTATTATATTTATATATATTTTGAAGCATTGACACTTGTATTGTTTTATATTTACTTTGTTTATTAGTTATAAATTTATTTGCGAACACTATTTATGCAGTTAATATTGTCACAGAACAAACAAAAAATCACTTAAGACCTTTTTCTCACGATCGCCGCCGGCAAAACGCGCACGACAACAACAACAACGGCCACGGCAACGACGATGGCGACTACGAACACGGTAAACGATAAGCGATAAACGATAAACGATTACCGATACGTGATATAAGAGAAGAAAAAAATGGAGAAATTAATTCAGACAAGTGAATAGTGAGTGATATGATCGATCTGTGTGTTAGGCAATGCACTTTCGTTATGGTTTTACACTTTGTAACGGTTCGCGTAACGCGCGAGCTGAGCTTTTTCTGCTGCTGCTCCGACTACTGCGGCTGCGGCTGCGGCTGTTGCTGCTGCTGCTGCTGCGGCTGCTGCTGTTCGATCTGAAATCTTTGACGTGCGCAAGGCAACTCACATTGGGCCCCAAGACGCGGATGCGAAGAACTCAAAAATCGTCGAGCGCAGCTGGCAGCGAATTTCCGCGTTTGTATGTGTGAGAAATAGTTTGTCTGTGTGTGTGATGTTTGGCTGTGTTTGCTTGGGCCACGACTGCGACCAACGACTGAATGCAACGGACGACGAAACAGCACCAAAGCCCAGAGAGCGATTGTCGTTGACGTCGACGTCGCTGCATTTGGAGAAATGCTTTTGGGGGCTGTGCACACACACACACACACGCACACACAGACGGACGCATGCACAGACACGCGCCAACACACACAAACAGGTTTGCCCCTCTCACTAGCTGGCAAACACATACGCAGACATGCAGGCGCGCCCTTGTACATAGGCAGCCTCACACACATTGGCTGGTTGTCACACTGTCATTGTTGTTGCTTTTGTTGTTGTTGCTGGTGCTGGTGCTGTTGCTGGTTCTGCTTTTGCCGGCGCTGCACTTTGTAGTTGTTTTGCTTTTGTTCGCAGTTCTCTGTTGCAGTTTGATTCAAATTTGTTTTAGTCACTTGCAACTTGTTTGAGTTCGGCTTGGTTGCAGTTGCATCACGCATCTCTCTTTTTTAGTTTTTCTTACCGGCTTTTTTAATTGTTATTATTTTGGCTTTTGCCTCTATTTTGTGCGTTGATTTTCTGCCTTTTCGCTTTATTTTGGAATATGTTATTTTTTGACATTTGCTTGCAGTTTTTTCTTTGTGTTATGAGGCGTATGATCGTTGCCTTTGGTAATGCCAATGGTAATATCTTGTAGTCTGAGACAGGGTGTTGATCATTTTGATAAAGAAGAAAAGCTCCGGCCTCTAAATACCAACACCAAAATACTAAGCAATTTCATTGATGTTCTAAGTACAGTAAAAACTCTAAGGTATGAGTTTTTTATTGGATAATCTCAATTTTGATACTTAAATAAAATTTAATTGAATTTTAATATGCTTTAAATTTCAAGTTTCTATTTATTTGTTTTATATACATTTTTAAAAGTAATTCGATTTTAATTTTATACCGAAAGTAGGATTAGATCAGGCAGTTTTATAGATTAGCTGGGCAACTATTCGTATATAGAGCTGTCTCTACTAAGAGTATTGTCTGTACTATTTGTTACTAAACTTAAGTAAAACTGCAGTTGTAAATCAATTTAATCATACTTTTTATAATGTATTCCCATTGGGAACGCAAATGGGGCAATTGCTTATCGTTATGTTATAGAATATGGTAAAAAATTATAGAGGGTTAGTCCCAAAGCAAATTGAGACTAAAAGAGCATGTGTGCGGGAAAGTTATTTGTTTGATAAGCTGTCGATCGGCAAGTTCTTGCAGTATAAATAATTTCAATCTTTAAATAAAACAAATGGCGAAGCAGCAGAGCGATCGCTTCTAAAGAGCTGGCATTTTATTTAGTTAAGAGCGAGGTAATTGAGCATGCGACAGATCGCCGATAACGAATGTATTTATATATATATACATAGAGCAGTCTTCTTTTGTGCAATTCACTGCCGGTGCCCCTGGGTCTGCCCGACCGACCCCGCCCAAATGCTGTCGCTCCGTATTCGTACTGGGTAGACGATCGCTTATCTCGCATGTCGCTGCTAATTTCTATTTGCTCTGGCTTTTCGGGCGTGAGGAAGTGCTCCGTAATTAGTATTTAGTGGGTGCTGAGGGAGTCACAAGTTACAATTCTATTTAGTTAATTACGTGTCGAACGACAGCTAAAAACCTAGATGGGGCGGGCGGCTACGCTCGTGATCTGCTAACAGATGGGCCCTGGGCACACTAACAAACATAAAAAATATTTATAAAAATTGTACATGAAAAACTAAACATGCCCAGCGACATGCTCGACTGGGATTTCTTGCTTCGAGTTTAGCTTAACTGCATGTCCATCCCACAACTAGTTAGCGGACTATGCAAATATAATGCCAGCTGAACAAACAAGTTCATCTGTGCCACTGCGCTCTGATCGAATCGAATAAAGATTACATTTTAATT